GAGAAGCTATGGTGGAGGAGGGAGGAGAAGCGGCACGGGAGGAGTGGTGGAAGAGCGGCTGGGGAGGGGAGCGCGGGAATGGCATGGAGGAGGTTGGAATGTGGGAAAAGAGAGTGAGGGGGGGAAGGTGCCACTGACCTGTGTCTCCCATCTTGAAGAGGCGGTCAGGCGTACTCGATTCTCCAAGGCATGCCAACCACAGGGCACACCACAATCCCATCACAGCGAAGGGCGAACCAGTCCACCAACGACCAAAGCACCTCACACGTAGCTCAACCGATGAGCACCAAAGCACGAAGTACATGGCACCACGTAGCACACACAGAAAACAGAGAGAGAGAGAGAGAGAGAGAGAGAGAGAGAGAGAGAGAGAGAGAGAGAGAGAGAGAGAGAGAGAGAGAGAGAGAGAGAATAGCGCTTCGATACGGTAGCTAGGTCATGCAGGGCAGGTACGTACGTCGCGTAGTACGACGTACCACACATGCCGAAGGACATAACGTTGCACGCAGGTACGTCATGTAGGTACGTCGCACTGCAACGGACAAACGTGACAGAACCGAGTTACCCTCGGTCGCATGAGATCTGGGCCATTGGGTCCGTGGTATCGGGCCAACGGACTGGATTGGCCCAGGATCTTAAGACCACGTTGACCCAGGTCGTCAGTCCGATGGAACCCGACGGCCTGGATTGAAGTGAAGACCACCCGCCGATCTGGCCCGTCGATCCGGTAGGACCCAACAGCCAGGATTTCAGATTTATTACATGTTTCGGACGATCCTGGCTGTGGGCCGGTAGGATGACAACAGCCCGGATCAGAGATTGGTTCCCTTATGATTTTAATAGTGTAGAGATCAAAGCTGATATGAGCTAGAGAATGAGAACAGAAAGGTATGAGCAGCATCTAATCCAGTCCACAAATAGACCACAACATTGGGATGGGTGCCATGTGTGCGGGAGGGGCTCGCAACACAAATTCCACAAATTAGCGGTAAAAATGTCCTTACTGCAGTGAAAGGTGTAGAGATTGTAAGTCTCTGAATCAGTTCAGTGTTCATACCTCCAGGTTCTTGATGTTCCATTCCTGGAATGGGTGCAATGTGAGCCAGAGGAGCCCGTGACGGATAGAACTTATTGATGAACTCCTGGGCCAATTCTCTCACTTTCTTGTGTGGGGCACATCGCACTGCCAGTGAGTGCACGATATAAGGAATGAGGGCATGACTTTCTGGGCACCTGCAAAGCCATTATTCAGAAGAGAGTCAATCACAACTTTTCTAAATCCACAACCTACATCGACATAAACCAAGATGGTTGTCCGCAGCCTTAGTTTGCTGGTATTGTGAATCAGGAAGCAAAATCTGCAAATTTAGAGAGTGCGCAAAACAGACAAACTAATTTTTCTCTTGTTCATCATTACATTTCTAAACATCTCCATGCTTTCCTCTCACCAGTTTTTAGCACACCACATGGTGCACAGTACAATTGTTAAATACACATTATATCCTGTGAAAAGCAATCATTAAAACGAGTTCCTGAAGAGATCAAGTCCAGACATTAAAATAATATGCAGGTCAGCTTATGATTTGCAGTGAGATGTGGAGTTTCTTGAAGAGAACATATTTCAGGCAGAAAAAAAAACTGCACCTTGGGCACTTCTAGACAAAGTCTTCACCCTTCTGTTTCACTTTTTTTTTCTCCCGTAAACTCTCCATGCGCAAACCTTGCACGACTTTACAAAACTTACTTTCTTATTCAGAGAAGCTCATACTGACATCTCAAAGACAAACCTATGGGCCAAAGTTCGGTCTTTCAGAACTTTCAGAAAACAGTATATAGCCCTGTTGATAAAGCCATACATAGTGGTGAGCTCGATTGGAGGTAGGATGGAGCAGAAAAAAACAAGCACACCTATGCTCAATTCTTGGCCGCAAAAGCACAATCGCGCACTGCAGAAGAGTAGGCAAATGAGGAACAAGAACATAGTCCTGCATTTCCACAAAGCAGCCTGGCCAATATCAGTACCCTATCAAGCAAGAGTGCAAGGCACACTTCATAACTATCCCCTCCTTTCCAACCCTTGCAACAAGACCTCAACTGTCGGAATGTGATAGATACGTCATACCGACTCATATGTTATGAATGACCCAGAATTTTTGACTTGGTTCTTGCAAACGAGGTTGCAGTTCTGGGTCAGGAAGGGGCACTGAAATCTTCACCCATAATGGTTGCATCTCTCTCTCTCTCTCTCTCTGTTTTTAAAAAAGCACCCCAAATTCTCTCTCTCATTCCCTCCACAAATCAGAACAAACCATCCATAGACAAAAAAGTACAGATAGTGCGAGGAATGAGCATCGAGGAGCCCTTATGAAACATACAAGTGTTCTGGGCTGTGGCCCCCAGCAAGCCTCGTGCCCGCCCTAAGTGAAGGCGGGCCTGAATATCCACGGGAGGCCTGTTCTCAACAATTTTTCCATATGTGGGTACTCAGACAGTTGCAGCACGCCAGATGGTTACAGAGCAACGTGAGCCTCCCGGCTCTTTCCAGAAGCAAAGGGCTGCGCTATACAGTTGAGCCGAGGGCTCAGGCGGTTGCACCCTGGGCACACGCTGTCTGAGGCCGACACATCCCGGACTGGTTACGGGCCAATGAGGAAGCAGCATTGTCGTCACACATGTGCCGCGAGCCAATGACAATGCTGCAAACGCTTGGAGGCTGGGAGGCTGCCTGAACGTGACTAACTGCACGAGGCCCAGTCCACTTTTGGAAACTGGGCCTGGGCGCAGACACTTGGGGCCCAACTGAAGCTACTGGGCCCCCACACGCCAGGCCAGGACAGCCAGCAGTGACACACGTTCCATAAAGGAAAGTCTGAGCCCCTGGGAGGGGCATTCTGGCCTTAGCAGGCAATGCGGACACGCTGCTGCGCTGCTGCACTAGTGTCTGTGTGTGCATGCTGGTCAGACGAGCGCACGGGCGCTGAGGTGAGGGGTGATGTAAGGGCATCGGCCGCACAGCAGCCATAGCTGGGCTGCGAAGGTGGTCTTCAGGTAGGAGGCGCATGATGTGGGGGGATGAGGGGTGATGACGAGAGGAGAGAGAACGTACCTAGTGTATGCTAGTGATCGGCATTGGTGTTGACATCACGGACATTGGTCTTCGACTTCAGAGTGATCCAGTTGCGACAACGTAGATAGGCTAGATAGGCTGAGTAGGATAGGCTGGGCGCAGGGCGCCAGACAGTAAGTGCTACATTGGATACAGTATTGGTGTGACCAGAAAGTGGCAACATTGACATTCGAGTTCATTGTATTGCTCTTATTGGGACGGTATCTTGGTGCATTGCACTCTCTGCTTGGTTCATGACTATCTGAGCTACTTCGTGATTTTGCAACTTGGATTTCTGGTCATCGCTCTCGCTCATATTCCTTGCAATTTGGTATCTGAGCGAGGTTCAAAATCGCCGTTACCGGCGCTGGCAACATTAATACTTGGTGCGCTGGCGAAGCTTCTTCGCAGTGAGGATACATTGGCGCTGGCATAGTTTACCACTCCCGGGTAGAATGGGGGCTGGCAGGAAGGCTGTGGCACAGCGTGGGAGCTGTGGTGACAGCGGGTGTGTGTGGAATGATGAGAGCATGCTGACATGGCATTTGGCTGAGGTGGCACTTCATTATATTGTGGGTCATCGAAATGCACGCCGGGTCAATTGTCGTTGGGGGCAGCTATCTTCAGGTACATTGTTCCCTTACCTTATCTTCCCATCTCAACCTCTTCTTACCGTGAGGAAGTGAGTCCAACTTGAGTGTCCTACTCTGGTTCAGGAGTCGTGATCGCTCTACCTTGAGAGTCAACATTTTTCCTGGTGGTGCATCTGGAAGGAGAGGGCGGTGCCAATGAGCGGCCCTGGTCGAAGCACGGGTCACGGTCACCATGCCAACCCATGGGAGTAGAGCGCGCATGCTTTGCTGCTTTGTCCTTTTAACCTCTTGCTGCGCTGTAGAGGGAACGTGGACTGACCAGTCCTATGCAAGATGTCTACCGGACCGTCTATAAATTATTTCTGGCAGGATCTGATCTGAATACTGGCTGTGATCGTCGTCCTGTCTGCGGGGTTAAATAATTCCTGAGGACCTTGGGGGCTGTCCTTAAACTGCCTCTTGATCAGCCAGATCAGTCAGATGTAAGGCTCGTTGCATGCGGGCAGTACTGGTCGTAAGCGGGTTCCTGGGGCACAGGGGTGGGCCGTTGTGCACACGACAGACACTGCTGCTTGATGATGCGAGTCAGGTTCGTTGGATACAAGGGAAGGGAATGTTCCAATTGGTGCCCATACACAAACACAAATATTTCCATTTCCGCACACATCTGTACACGATCTATTTTTATTTTTGATTAGTTGAGGTGACTGACTGCTGACACCTAACAGACAACATTAGATTAGAATTGTAGTAGTCTACCATTGCCAGTTCAGTGCGGTGCTGCTGTAAGAGAACTGATCGAAGTAGGATTAGATCACTTGCTCGGTTTGTGTAAATGTCGTTGACACCACTTGCTCGGTTTGTGTAAATGCTGTTGACAACTTGGCACCACTTGAACAGTAGCTTGGTTGACTTGCCGAATATTTATTATTTTATTATATTTTAAGATTCGGTCAGACATGCCGTGGTAGGCCCAGCGAGGGCACTAGTGCAGACAGTGATCTGCCTAGCTGATGAGCGGTACAGATAGTGGGGACAGGACAGCTGATGATAGGAGACAAACACGGCGGGATACATGTAGACTTCCGGTATTGTTTCAGGTTCTGCTATCAGGGGACGAAATAAGGTCTTGGGCCGAAGCAAGGGCCCGACATCTGCATCTGGTCAAGGGTTGACTGGATTTCATACAGTCGGCTGTCAAGATACTCACTCATATTCAACAGATACACCCAGAAGATCTTTCATAGATCATTCAAGGTCGAATCGTCTAACCCTTCTAGTGCAGCCTTGTCTGCCTCTCTACTCTCCAATCTGGCTTTACTATTTCCAATCTGATCTTGTCTTTTAGTAGCATCTTTAAGTTGCTTTTGTAACTGTAAGCGGAGTAGCTCTAGCTGCTGGAGTTCCAACTCCTCGGTGGAGGTGGTTGGCTGTACTGCGAGCCCACCATCTGACTTGTGGAGGGTCCTGCACTAGTCCCACTAGATGAGACTGTCTGCTGACTTTGAGAGGTCGCTGAAGGAGCGGCCATAGCTTCCGCTCTAGTCGCTGCTTCCGCTAAAACACGTTATGCAGATGCTGCTGTCTCCCAGGGCCGTGCAGGGAAGGGGAGGACCACTATACCTTGCCATTTGACATGTTGAGTATGTATCAGCACAAAAACACTTTTCAGACCAGGTACGGACTGTACGAGTTTCTGGTGATGCCTTTTGGCCTCTGCACTGCACCGGGAACATTCAAGCATGCCATGAATAGGGTCTTTCATGACTACTTGGATAAGTTCATTGTCGTGTACCTCGACGATATACTTATCTTCAGTAGGACTGTCGAGGAGCATGCCCAACATGTAGAAACCGCACTTTAACTCCTACGACAACACAAGTATAAGATAAACTTAGAGAAATGCGAGTTCGGTCGCACTAGAATCTTGTACTTGGGTCATGAGATATCCGCGGAAGGAATTAGGCCCGAAGATGAACCCTAGTCTGTGACTGAGGTCAGATGATACTTAGGGATGTGTGGCTACTACTGTAACTTCGTGAAGAACTATAGTACGGTCGCCTCCCCCTTGACTGCTCTAGCACCGACCACACATTAAGCTGCTTGTTTTGTTGTGGCGGCTGCGTTGACTCTTTTGGTGAGTTGCATTCTTAGCTCAGCTGGATAGAGCAACAACCTTCTAAGTTGAAGGTCACAGGTCCAAATCCTGTAGGATGCTGAATTCTTCGGGAGAGTGGCCGAGTGGTTAAAAGCGACAGACTGTAAATCTGTTGAAGGTTCAATAGTCTACAAAAAAATTAGAGCCCTCTGCCACAGCCTACAACGCCACCACAAATCAAAAATACACCGCAGGACCTGTACGCAACACCAAGAGTGCCATGAACCTCCCCCTGCCGCACAACCTGCAGAATCAGATGATGTACTACAACGAGGCCACTCCGTGTACTATGCCAAATTCCACAAGATCTCCACACAACACCAGTAGCGCTAGCGCTTAAACACCCTAGAAGCTACCCCATTCTGTGTGTGTGTGTGTGTGTGTGTGTGTGTGTGTGTGTGTGTGTGTGTGTGTGTGTGTGTGTGTGTGCTCGCACACTTTCACGAACCAATAAAAGAAAACACTTCACAAAGTGGCAACATGATGGAGTTGAAACAGAATGACAGGAATACCCTAGAGAACACCTTGTGAACAGAAGGCTCTGTTTCCATTTGGCCCCATCTAGTTCCCCAAGATTGCGACTTTGCCACTTTGTGTCTACGTCCGTCGAGTCATGTCCAGTCTGTGTTGAGTTGAGTGAGTGTGTGTGTGTGCTCTCACTCCCTCCCTCTCTCTTCCCCGACCTCGATGCTCTGCCTCAGTCCCGTCACATTATGGGTCTACCCCTACCTATCTCTGCTCTGTGCCAGGAGCAGCACCCAAGCTCCTAACACCTGGCGCGGGCTGGAAAGAACCCAATCCACAACCAGCCAGGAGGGACAAGCTGACTTTCTCAGTCGGTGAACCCAAAGTATGCCACACAGGGGATCAAAGGGAATCGAAAGGATGGTGGGGGGAATCGAACCCACGACCTCCCGTGTACCACTTACGTGCTCAACCAACGAAACTAGGTCGCTTGGCCGCTAGGCTGTTTTTCCAGGCGCCCGGGCACCCAACTTATGCCCAGGTACACGCCCAGGTGCCCAGCCGGGCATGACCCTGGGCAGGGTTCAGGGTTCGAGGCAGCCCCAGCGGGGCCAGCGCCCAAAAACAAAAAGAAAATAAAAAATAAAAAAATTCCAGAAAACAAACATGTTGTGACAGTTGTGTAGAATTGCAATACAAACGTTTTTTGGCTGAGGGTCACATTAGAATTCCTCACAGAATTGGAGATAAAAAAGAAAATAACGGAATTTTCGCACCCCACTTTAAGCCCCTTTAGCCCCTTGAAATCCACTTTATACCCCCCTTCACMCCCCCCCCCCCCCCTTCCTCTCTCTTGACAGCCAACTCACAAAAAGAGAAATGAGCCCAGATTTGGGGTCCTCTGGGAGAGCGCAGAAAACCCAAAAAAAAAATAAAAAAAAAAAAAAATGATAAAAATTTAAAAATCTTTTTTTTTTTTTGCACGCCCGGGTACCCCAGGCGTCATGCCAGGGCCAGGCGTGAGAACCTTCCTAGCTTTCGGGAGACTCAAACAAATTTATTTTCTAGTAAATTTCTACTGCATTGTGAACTTCACATGGGAGCACAAAGTTCAAAGACTGTTAAACCACCAGTACACAGGTGCCTGGAGGCGCTGCACTGCGCACCAAGCTTTTCAGAACTGCCATCCGGGCACTTCTTTTCTTTTTTGGCTGGCGCTGCCAGCCATTGTGATCTGGTAGCCCTGAGGTCCGAAAAGTTTGGAGGTGGCAACTCGCAATTCTCTGCAAGGCTGGGCTCATGTACTGGCGGTTTAAAACCAACAGATGGTTTTGCCCTGCCTCCGGATCTCCTGCTGTGGGTCCTGGCTTGTTGAACATAATATAACAACATACTGTTACACACAAATTACCCTCTGTGGCTAATCCCACAATAATTGTCATTTGGCAGTCGTTAAAACGCCTGAGGTTGTGAACCCTTCCATCACTACAATGATTTAGCTACCAAAGGCAAGTTTGTGTACAACTATACGCAAAACAGCTTACCTGTTGATATGCAGTATCAGTTAGAAGGACAAGGGCACTGTGCTCTTGAGCAGATACAGCCCATGAAGTAAACCTGGCACTTTCCCAGGCGATAGACAGTGAACCACGGTTATCAGAGCCTGCAACCTGATGACAGAGTGCCACGAAAAGAAGACAAGGAAGAACCAATCATGTCAGTGCTCCATAGTAACGTGTCCCCAACAACAGGTGAAGTCCAAAACTGCAAAAACATGGCGATCAACATTCACCACACCTTGAACCTGAAGCAGCTTGTGCATCATTGCAATGAAGACTGCAAAACACTTGAAAGTTGACACAAGTTCAGTCATACACGAGCTTCCGTCAATATCTGTAGGCCCTGAGAGGGGCGACCTACAGGTGAAGCAGTGTGGATTGGCCTGCAGTACTGTAAACTGGCATACACACTCATACTGACATCATTGTTATCTGACACTCACATACATAAAACAATCTGATGATTGATTACAATGCACTTACAGAAGCTGGCACAGTTCACGAACGTGTCCTTAATGAGACAACATCTAAAACCTGCAATTGCCTTCTGTTCTCCAACAACTGGAAGGTTGGAAGGTGGCTGACTCTGATGATAGTTGGGTTGCACAATGTTTTAATGCATGCCTATTCCCTATAACAGGCAATATCTGGAACCCGCGTTTTTGTTTTTTGTTTTTTAACAAATAAAACACAGCCTTATTGTCCTGGCTCCATATCCATTCTGGAGAGCATCAGTTCTATGTAACAGCTTGAACGCACTGAACGTGTGTTAACGTTCAAACGCACACGTTCAAACCTTGGTCGGGCGCATTAAATCGCATTTAAAAGAGCCACGTGGCGGGGGGAAAGAGAAATGTGAGAGTGCGCCCCCCACCGGGATGCGCGCGTCGGATGCAAAAAAAAAAGAAAAAAGAAAAAAAAGATCCTGTGTGCGCTCTCTCTCTCTCTCTACCCCTGTAACCATGGCCTCCCTCCCTCAACAAACCCTCTCTCTCTCTCTCTCTCTCTCTCTCTCCCTGTCTGTGTACCGATTTCCCCGAGCAAAACGCACCCTCATTTTTGCTGCACCTGACTGGAAATATTGCTTGTATGCATTCATTGCATGGGTCCTGGGGACCATCTCACGCAAGTGTGTACATGCCATGCATCGTACTCCCACACACAATGAACAGTAGTCTGACAATAGACAAAGATAGAGAAGATGAGGACCGAGTTTCACAGTTTATATTATCAGAAATATGAATACAAAGTGTTTCAAAGTTCCCCTGAGTCCAG